ATAAATACAATTAGATATAACATTTTAACTTTTCAATAATGAAAAGATGTAGTAAAACAAAACTAAAAAGAGTAATAATATAAGTGAGAAAATAGACAAGAAATGTAGAGAGACAGGAGAGAATTTTCTTATTCTTCCAACTATATTCAAGTGTTTTCTAAATCTTCAAGTGCATAACACATCCTCAAGACCTCTATTTATATTGATCTAAGAGGCATACAAAAAGATAGCAATAAACATGATATTAATTATTGAGGATGTAAGGGTGTGAGAGATAAATGAGAAGATGGTGTAGGTGTGGGTATTATTACACATAATGGTGAAATTATATCTTGAAGTTATGGACATCCATATTAATATAATATATTTACATTAATTATATACAAATAATAATTTTATTAAAAATGAGGAGAAAAAATAAAAAAATGTTCAAAAAACAGGGAAAAAAAAGATAAATAGGAATGGAAGCCATAGAGAGGTGTCACATCACCTTCTCTCTCTCTCTCTATATATATATATATATATGATTCTCTCATTGTTTTTTTGCATAACTAGCACTCCTTCTGTCTCAATTTATGTGGCATTTTTTATTTTTTGATAGTCAAACAGTTTAAGTTTGACCGAAAATTTGTGCATGGATTCTTCAAATTTTTTGAAATGAAAGTTATATATTTTGTAAACTCCGTAAAAAGTATTGTAAGTCACAACAATTACCAATTCAAAATATTTAAAAGATATATAAAAAAAATTATGATAAAAAATACATGTAATATTTAAATCTCAAAATGATAAAAGATACACGTATTTAAATCTCAAAATTAAAAAGATGTCATATAAATTGGCACAAATAAAATTTTATATATACCAAAAACTTTTTTTAAAATTAATAAATAACGTATAAGAAGTGCTTCTGGAAGAAGAAAAAAATCAACCTCAATCAAATCAAAAGGTATGATGATTAATTTATTCTTAAGCTAATATATATGGGGACAGCTTCTAATGAACAAGAGGACAACTGGGGATGTGATTCACAACATTTAGCTAGCCATCATCATGTTTTGAATATTGACTTCAACCATGTTAAAGTTATTAATCTGAACAGAATTTTTACGTGTTTAGCTCATTAAAAGAAATTATATATGTTCAAACGTAAGAAGTACGCGTTGAAGACATACTTTAGTAATAAAGTAGATTTTTTCTAACAATACCATGTTATTAGTTGCAAAATCATTGTCTTTGCTTGCCCATTATATGTATATATAATTTGTTGAATTTTGCACTTTTTCTATGTGTATATATAATTCCTTGAATTATTCATGTTAGAGTGTACCCACACTGTGGATATATAATATGCATGTGTCTGAATTAGTGAATAAATTGCTTTTAGAAAGTAAAAAAAAAAAGGAAGAGAAACTATATAGTAGTTATTAAAGATGAAGTGTATCTGAAAATCTAGAAAGTGACACCAATGCTTCCATTAAAATGAAAAAGTTAAGTCTGGTCGATTAAATTAATCAGAACAACTAAACAATAATAATATATTTCAGTGTAATTTCATATATAAGGTCTGAAACAGTTACAATACACACATATCTTATTCCTGTCTCATAATAATCAAATTGTTTATGATAGACCCTCTACATAAATATATAAAAACAAGTAATATGTGTTTGGGGTTTCTAAACTCAAATATGTTTATTAACTTAATATTTAAAACGACTAATTAAGCAAAGTATAAAAATAATAAAGGTCCTATTAATTAATTATCCCGATAGTAGTGTACCATGTAAGGGAACACATTAAAAATCGGATTTAACTGTTTAAAACAATATGTTCCATATGGGCTGCTTTGTTTTTATTTAATTATTATATTTTTGTATCATAGTATATACGTCAAAATCATTCATTGAACTTGATTATTTTTCAAATATTCGTTATGCTATAACTATTTCTAAAAACGTTCATTACGCATGCAGTAGAGTGTTAGGTGGGTCACTACCTATAATACAACAATAACATAAACATATTCAGTATAATTTTATAAGTGGATAATTACAAGATAATTTTTTAAAGTGAGGACAAATAGGCCAAAAATATCATAAAAATTAAGTAATTTGAAATAGTATCTAAATTCTTCAAGAAAAATATCCAATTCATCGCTCAATGTTTTATATTTATGAAACTATCCTTAAATTTGAGCTTTGCTAGGGTCAAGAGAAAAAAATAAGACATTTTGGAACGATGGGAATACTATTAGATCAGAGATTTAACGATAGGCAAAGTTACTCAATAACATATGGTATAAGGATAAATTTGACCATTTCTCCGGTTAAAAAGCTTCACTATAAGAAAAGTGTTGATTACCTGGGGATTTTCCTAGGGATAATACAGTAAATCCGCAGGTAATTTGATTACGTGCAAATTTTCTTGCAAAATGAAATCCGATGGAAAAACCTTCGTAGGTAACTCTTACCTGCGGATTTATACAATCCCTAGGTAATTTACCTGGGGAATTTAAATCCTCAGCTGTGTTACTTGCGGATTTATCTACATAACTAACGAAAATTCTTGCAAATTTTTTGCTAAAATTTCTTATAAAAACGAAATTTCTTGCAGATTTTCGTAGAAATATTTCGCAAGTGATTCCCCATGAAGATCCCCAAGTAAATCCATAGGAGTTTGGAAATGAAATTTTTTGAAACAAAAGGAAATTTCTTGCGGATATATATGAAAGTATTGCTCAAGATAATTCCAATGAAAAGAAACCCGCAAAAAACCAACAAAAAACACAATTCACGTTATATCACTTCATTCAACAAAAAAACAGAATTCATAATTCATAATTCCTATGAAAATAAACCTGCAAGATCAATAGTATATGATTCTTAAACATACAAAACAAAATACAACTCAAATTTGAATCCTAAATAGTACCATCAACTATCATAATCCCCATTTGAAGATGATGCGCTATAATGGTCAGAACCACTGTCATTCACGTTATCATGGGCAGAACCACTATCATTCACGCTATCAGAGTCATCACCACTTTCATTCTCACAAGCTTGATTGTCTTCTTGAGATGATTGCTCATTTGAAGATGATGCGTTGTATACATGTTTCTTTAATAAGTCCAATTCCCTCCTCATCCTCTTATTTTTGTGACTCTCTTTCTGCAGTTGAGCATATAAGTCGGCATTGGAAGCATTTACCTGAGCTTTAATCATCTCATCAGTTTCTCTCGATAAAGCTGATGTTGATTGTTTAGTACGATTGACTTTACAGATCGACCCAGGGATCCAAGACTTTTAACTCTTCCTTTTTTCTTTCCACCAACAGATTGCACCCAGATATCCATTTCTGTTAATTGAGAAGGTTGACCAGCTAAATTAGTTTCTCCTTCCGCAGCTGATGCACTTTGAGAAGCTAATAATTCTTGTTTCTTTCTTTCAAAAGTATTCTGCATCAAAACAAGTTATTTGAGACAATATTTAAAGGCAAATCTCTAGCTCTCACTATTAACTGGCAACCATCAAAAGCAATAAACTTATCAACATTGATATTAACAAATAAAATATGATTACATAATGCATATACTAGCATGGCATTTTATATAGAGTACTGCCAACTTCTTATTCTTTATACTTGAAAGTAAAAGTGTCGAGATGTTCTTCACTTATGATTGCTTTCACTTGGAAGACAACTACATCTACCACTAGTATCATTGCTGGAATTTTCACCCTGATTTTGCATGGTTTTCATTCACCGCTAGGCCACAATACTAATTGGCTACAACAAGATCAATCCATCTTCTTACTAAGATATTTAACACAACTTAAATAAAATATTTAATCTACAAAAGAATAGAGCGAACGAATACTTACATAAGCAGTTTCAGCTTTCTCATTTACCCAACTTTTATCACTTTTCTTGCGATGAGTTCGAAAATAAAATTCTGAAATTGATGGATCCTTTCCAGTAGATTATTTCTATAATGAAGGAAGATATTTGTGTTATCAATGTTGAGTATGATGTTATTTTCTTAAAAGAAATACATCTAAAAAGATTTATGATTACCATTCTCTTATAGATCACTCGATGAGGTATACAACCACCTGTATGAAGTGATGCACCAGCATTTGAATCACGGTTTTTTTTGTTTTGTTCGGACTTTATCTTGAATGCAGGAGACTCCCAGTGCCCCTTTATCTCCTTGAATACCGCATCCCCCATCCAATGTGGCTTCAGAGGCAAGTTTTTCCTAACATCTTGAAAAAGTTGTGTCATCCTTGCAGATGCCCTTTTCTCAAAATTACGTCTTATAGCATCAGTATAGTGAGGGAGCCATTTGAATTTTCTTCTGTATATAGCAAATAAAAACAACATTAGTTATACAAGCTCACACCACATGTATTAGACACTGGAGAATTGCTAGAGTGTTGCAAATGGTAATGTTATTCTGAGAGATTCTTTAACGGATGAAATAAGCTCGCTATTTCATTTGAGTTTGGAATAATATATATGATCTCTCACTGTCTAACCACATTCAAAGGTCACTGCTTAAAGATAAATGCAGAGAAGACAGTAAAGAAAAAACAAAAACAGACGTGTATGCACCCAAGTAGATTGATAGAAACATGCTTTACATAAATCTGATGCATTCTTGTTTCTTCTAAATTCATGATTGAGAGGCAAGAATTGCCGGTTACAATCAAACCAAGAAACTTTTCTTCCATTTTTCAAACTGAAAGTTTTTGTTTCATCCATACAAATTGGGCAAGCTAATTTACCTGATGTACTCCATCCCGACAGCATGCCATAAGCAGGAAAATCATTAATTGTCCACATCAATGCTGCTCGCATAAGAAAATTATGTTTCTTGGACATGTCATAAGTGACTGCACCATCCTTCCATAACTGTTGTAATTCATCTATTAACGGTTGAAGATACACATCAATTTTCTTTTTGGGATTATGAGGACCTGGAATAATCAATGTTAAGAACATATATGGGGCAGCCATACAAATATCAGGAGGAAGATTGTACGGTGTAACAATCACTGGCCAACAAGAGTATGATGATCCTGATTGGCCAAAAAGGAGTAAAACCATCAGAACAAAGACCAAGCCTAACATTTCTAGGCTCTACAACAAAGTCTGGATAAGTTCGATCAAAATTTTTCCATGATTCTCCATCCGAAGGGTGGCATAACACACCTTCTTCCCTGCAATTTTCATAGTGCCACCTCATGTGTTCAGCAGATCTTTTCGAAGCATATAATCGTTGAAGTCTAGGAATAAGTGGCAGGTAATGCATTGTCTTGTGTGGAATATTTTTCTTACCCTTCTTGCCCACACGCTTTTTATAACGAGGTTCTTTACAAAACTTACATTCTGTCATCTGTTTATCAGCCTTGTAATATAGCATACATCCATTAACACAACAATCAATTTTTTGGCTAGTTAGACCAAGCCCCGACACTAGCTTCTTCGCTCGGTAGTAATCAAGAGGTATCTTATTATCTAGAGAGCTTGTCTCTTTCATTAATTGAGCCATTGCATTAAAACAACTATGAGACATATTGTATTCAGATTTAATACTCATCATTCTAACAGCCACAGACAACTCTGAATATTCGCATCCATGCCATAAGGGATTCTGAGCTGAATTCAACATTTTGTAAAATCTGCTAGCACCTATATTCGGAGACTCTTCTACATTGGGTTCAACTTGATGACTAAATTCTACTGCAGCAGCAGCATCAATCATACCTACGTGTTCACAATTTTTTTCTAGAATGTTACATTGACTGCTTGAGGGTATGTCAAAGTCACATTCTTGATGACTACTTGAATCACCAAAATAGATATGTTCATTCAAATTAATTGAAGGGGCTTCCTCTCCATGTGACGTCCAATACCAATATCTTGGTGTGAATCCTTTTCGAAAAACATGCACATTAACTTCATCGGGTGTCAGATGCTTCATATTTTTACAACGCTTACAAGGACACCTTATAACTTTTTCAGACAAATACTTCTGTTGACTACAAGCAAATTTAATAAATTCATCCATTCCACTTATAAATTCATCAGTATATCCCGCTCGACTGGGGATTAGTCTATTTACCATCCATTTTCGATGCTCGGGAATTTTCATTTTCTGAACCAAAAAATAAATATGTTTGTAAACACATAAATAATGAAATTTAGTTACTGTATGGTTCAACAATGGTTGGGGAAAGCTACTAGTCAGTCACATGAACCTAAAAATATGCACATAAAAATACAAGAACAAAGACAAAAGAAAGCAACACAATAATTGCCTGAAAAGGAGCTACTTGAGAAACAAAACATAATTATTTGATCTATATACTTGATATCCCTGTTTAAATAATAAACTTGTCATCTCTGTCAGACAAGTAGATTCTTATATATCGAGCGAACTAGAAACTGATTTATCAAGTGAACCAGAAATGGACCTCGAATCAATTTATGTTCTAATTCATAAATAATAAATTTGTCATCTCTGTCAGTTCCCTCGTATACTTAGAGAGGAAACTGACTCTTAACAAGAGGGTGAATATAAAAAAAATAATCAGAATAGAGTATATGTGATTAATGGGTCAAAACCAAACATATAGAAAGACATATAAGGGCAAAGAGAAGAGTGGTATTGGTGTGTCTAGCATCACTATGATGTAGTCAGAACAAATTTTCTGTAAAATGGGATTTTACTAAAGCAAAGAGGAAAGCACACATAGTAGAATATAGACTGAATCAAAATGTGATGGAAATCATTACTTAAAAGAACCAGTCTTGAATACATTACACGCCCATAAGAAAGGAAAAGAAAAAAAGAAGCATTTCATACACTCTTTAATCATCTGAACAGAGAGTATATACAGCTAGCCCAAATATATTAATATCCTACCTACTGGAATAATCTCCAAAGCATTCTAATATGAGAACACACACAACATACATATGATGTCTTAACTGAAGCAAAGGTCTAAAAAGAATGAAATTGTAAGCTAATTCTCATAGATGTGTCAACTGAGTACTTTTGACCTTCACATTCTACTCATGGTCCAACAGACAACTTGGTTAGGAAACGGAATATAATCACAAAATGGCTTGGGTTGAATTAACTGAATTTTGGGTTGTTCCATCAAGTAAAGGAAACGGAACGAGGAACACGATCCAACATCAAGCAATCACATCACTAACAATTAGAATATAATCACTAAGTTTCAAGATTATGAATATATTCGTACTTCTAATTTTAGCTCTCCGTCAGATTGTACTTGACTCTATTACTCATTTGCAGTTATCCTTAAATGGTTAACATATAATTCATGTGCTGATTCCTCTCTAATAAAGTATGAACTATGAACAATAATAGACCAAATAAAGTATGAACTATGAATATAATCGTACTTCTAAGTTAAAGTATATAAGGCAAAAGTTGAAGGAGCTGAAGCCACACTTAAAATTGCTAAACAATAATAATTACAGAGGAGCCACAGAGTACAGTCCAACAGCCACAAGTGACCAAATTAAAATAGCAGTTGAGTTAAAGTAATAGTCGAGATGCTAGAACAAACATCATTTGTAGGATATTAAAATTCAATAATCTATAGAGAAGAAACATAATAAGGACATGCACTCATCTTCTCCAATATTGGTGGCAAGTTTACCCACCAACCAGCACCTATATGTATGGGTGTGGGCTGTACTTATCTATTTGACGATTACCTGAAGTGTGCACAGTTGATCCAAACACTGCTATCATAAACAAAAAACTAACAACATAACAAGCACCTAAGAAGAAATACAACTAATGAAAAAGAAAAAGGAGCTAAACTTAACACCGCAACAATCATTGGCCTCGATTGAAATTTTGATTTGCAAGAAAATTTCACTCGATTTTCATCCAAACTAAATCAGTAAGAAAAAATTTACAGATTAACTTCACAGAGATTGAAATTTGTAGATTAACCTCGATTTTTGGGTAGATTGGCAAGCAAATCTTCCGATCTATAGTCCTTTACTTCGAAAAAATCTGCTTGAAGAGAAGCATGAGGTCTTCTTGGAGAGTTTTGAGATGAGCTTGGAGATGAACTTTGGATGAGCTTGGAACTTGGAGCTACACCGATTGGAGCTTTGGAAAATCAGATCGTTTCCACCAGTGCTTCTGCATGTAAGTTTTGGAGAGAAACTTTAGTGGGTTTTGGAGAGAAGCTTCAGTGTAAAGTGAGTTAGAGAGAAGGAAAATGAGTATAATGGGTCTTACAATCACTTTCCAATTCCTAAAATTTTAATTGAGTTTTTAATTGGTCAATTATCCCAAAAAAAATATATATATAAGTGTAAAAAAATCTAATCATCTAAAAGATATA